TTTCCACCATGATTTGCAAATAAATTCTTTAAAAATCAGACAATGTGATTTTTCTGGATTTACCTTTATTGCAGGAGTAAGATCTTATTTCAGATTGCATTAACTTATCTGAACTCTGCTGCTGCCTGCTCTTATATTTACATTAGTTATGGTCTTAACATATACCCAGACAAAACAAAACAAAATAAAATATTTCTTTAACTGAAACAATTGAATAAAGCATTTTTCCCCCTCTTAGTCTGCTTTTAGAATTGCAGTGTACCTTTAAAAATGTCTATAAACTTATCTTTGTAAAGGAGATTCAGGTAAAAGAGTACGTTAAGAGAAACTATTAATAAAACCCTGCTTCTAAAAGGAAATAAAGTACATGTCTCCTATTGTATTTTGCATGCTAAATTGATTTTTCCCCAAGTGAGTTTGCACAAATTATTGCAGCCAAGAATGTCTCTTTGGCAGTTTCATCCCCATTTCCTTGTCTCTTTGGCACAGCAGTGATGAAATAGTTGAGGTCAAACAAAAGCTATGTCTTGTGAACTTCGACTTAAATTAATATGAGAAGCACCAAGTAGATAATGTTTGGCAGAAATCATGTTAGCTCAATAACGCATTTGTTTCTCAGAAATCATTATTTCATTCAGGAATTACTGCTTTGTTACTCTCCTGCTACAGTTCATTATGTAGCATTTTGCTTCTAATCTTTTTTGCTTTTGCTTTTTTGGGTATCACATTATAATTCCAATGGAAACCAAATCTGTGGAGCATGTGTCTGACATTCCAGTCCATATTTGCTCCTCTATTTTGCATATTTATGAAATACAGCAATGTGTGGGACTAGTTGTAAAGATTGGAGCTGAAAGTCATAGCCATCTTCATCTGTTTTCGTGAAGCTCTTCTTTTTCCCCAAATCAAATTTGGCTTCATTGTATTAAAAGAATTGTATACCACTTTATTTTTTAAATGGAAGATTAGTATCTTTTTTAAAAAAAGAAAGCATTTATAACAGTAACTTCAATTAAACATAGAAGGTGGCAGAGGAAGCAATTAAAATAATAATAAGAAACATATTTAAATCACAAGTTAGGGGAAACATCCATATGCTTACAAAAGAACTTTTCTTTTCTTTCCTCCTTCCTCCCCTTCCAAATACTGCACAGGGGAACATGAAAAGGGAGAATCTGTTCCAGCTGTGATAGTCTTTCTGCGTACGGATAGACACAGTTAGATACAATCCAATAACATTGATTAAGTCAATGTTAATAATCTGTTCATCACATTGTTGCTTTCTGTGACTGAAAACTGCTCTCCAAGGTCTTGGATATATGGCCAGACTTCCTGTCAGACAGAGTGAGGCAGTTGCCTCAGGTGGTAAAAGATGGATCATGAGCAACTGTGGTGGCTTTCTGACTTTTTCTTTTAGGCTCTCTAGCTGGCCTCTTCCATTGAAGACAGAATTGCATACAACTCACAGTTTGCTGTGGGCCACAGGTGTGATGCAGGATACACAGTTTTGCATATTGTGTGATCTATCGTGGCTTACGTATGATGCATGTCACTAATGATGTATGTCCATTAGTCTCTAGATGTGAATTGGGGAAAAGTCTCCATCTTGCCCCTTGTCCCAGGCAGCAAATATCTTGGCCAGATCTATACCTCAGATCCCTTTTACTAAAAAGGACCTCATACATGCAAAGCATGTGTTCTACCACTCTTGTTATTTTTCCATTCTGATTCCTGCTTCATTGAGACAGTTAAAATTAAAACCATCATGTAACTTAGAATCATCATATATTCCTATTCTTATAATAGCTGATGACACTGAGGATCCCAGAAGAATAGCAAAATATTTTATTAATAGCTGCAGTAATTCAACTGTTTTCTTGTGGTTTATCTTTCCAACAACATGGCATTCTCCACCAAAATGCTTTCCAAAATATTCATATGCTAATATTTAGATGGCACAAAGTCTTGCTTGAAAAGAGGTTACAAAATTTGATCCACACTTTGTATTCTTTTTTTTTTTTCAGAATAAGAATTTACTCTTTGAGAAAATGAAGGGTGAACCGAAAAGAAAAAAAAGGGTAATTTTCAGAAAACAACTTGTTTTCATTTTACTGCCTTAGTGTAGGATCAGGCAAGAATGCAAAGTAAAATCAGATTGTTGAGATAGTTATGAATAACATATAAAACTTGGACTTAGTCCTTACTTCCGGGAAAATCTGCGATAAGCATGAAGTTTCTTTATGCTAAAGTAGCATTTCTCAATATTCTCTTAGCCAAGCCAATGTGTATGATTTTAAAATGAAAATTAGCTGCATCCCTTGTATTTTCCCAAGTTTATCCCTAGACTACATACATAGAACCTAAGTTTGCTACTTACTTGGATAGCTTTAAAAGGGGATTGGATAAATTCATGGAAGACAGGTCTATCAAAGCTTGTTGCTCTTGAGGAGACAATATTACCCCGAGTTACATGGTTCCATCTTCTTTTTGTGAACACCCCGACACATGTGGTTGGCCATGTCAAAAACAAAATGCTGGACTAAGATGATCCTTGGCATGGTTGAAAAATAAAATACCCCCCCCCCCAGCTAGGAATGTAAACATTCAGTTGTACATGCAGTTTAGATTATCATACGAACATTGGCTTACAATGCAGAACACTAAGACTACTCACTTTTATAACCCATGCTTCTACTTACTTACTTCTCTCACTTCTGCTTCAGTAAAGTAAGCAGATGGGACCCACTCTATTCACTGAACAGAAGTCCTGCCCCATTTGGGGAGTTTAAAGTTGAGGAAGAAAACATTAAGCTACAATTTTAAACACACTTACTTAACAGTAAGCCCCATTAAATACAGAGGAAGACTGTAGGATGTGTACCTGGATTATTTCCCATTCCTAAGCGTTTTAAAATACTTATTTCATCTTTCAGAATGTAAATCCATATCTTCAGGGACAAAGATTGGACAACGTTGTGGCAAAGAAGTCTGTTCCACATTTTTCAGATGAAGAAAAAGACACTGCAGAAACTGAATGAAGATTCATGGATGGCTTGAGTACTAATTATATAAAAAGTGATTCAAATATTCATAGTAGCTGCATGTTTATTACCTATATAAATGTTGCTGGAAAGCAGCTGGATTTATATTTCTTCTACATCTTCAGCAAATTGGTATTTTCCAGATATGTTGGGCAATGACTCCCAGAATCATCAAGCATGCCGGTGGGAGTTATAATCCAATATATCTGGCGGCCTTCAGATTTGGGTGGCTGTCCTAGCTACCTGACTATTCAGTTCTGCTTCTTGTTAAGTTATAATAATAGAATCTTCTTGTTTTGCTTTGGATCTGATTTTAATCATTAATAAATTTTGATCATTGTGAGATAAATTGGTGTTAAGAAATAAGTCTTTAAAGCGTTGGCAAAGTTTAAAGATTTTCCAGTTCTTGTATGCTTTCACATGATATTAAGCTTGCTGTTTGGAAACAATTATTTCACCTCTTTCTGTTTGTAAATAATAACATAAAACACAATAAATATCTAGATACTTGCTGTTAGTGAAAGCAATATTTTCATGGAAATACATTATGTTTCAGAAAATTATCAATCAAATGATTTGATCAAATTATAGGCAAATTATAAATGTTATTTCTAAAGAGGTCTATGTGATTAAACATTTTAGCCAGAAGGTAAGATAATTATACACTCAGCTACAAGGAAATGCTGTCTCAGCTAAGTGCACAGACCTAATTAATCACGCATACTATTGTAACTATCTGTTTTTGAATGATGAATTATAACCTGTGCACCTACCATATCTGGATTGGAAAATTCTGCATTACCACTAGATGTGTATAAAGTGATATATAAAACACTAATTGCTGCCATCTATTGCTTGCCTGGATTTCTGCAGCTCACATATGGCAAGCCACTGTAGTAACCTGTCACAGTGGCAAACTGCAATGTTAAATAAGCCTTCCTTTTAATATTACCTTTCCATCTTATTCAAATAGAATCTTTCCCTTCAATAAACCATGAGAAGGAATACCTTTGTCATGAGATAGATTTAAGGACATCTAAGCGGTCAGCCAGAATGATATACCTGATCATTATGATATACATGATCTGGTTACTGATTTTGTGGATTTTTTTCTCTCTCAAAAGTATATAGTAGACATTTTAGATTCCTCCTACTCTTGTTCATTTCAGAGAAATAAAGAGAAATCCTGTTCACCATTATGCCTTTTCATGAGGACCATGTCTGCAACTGTATACTGTACCTATTTCTCCCTTTTTGTAAATCCCTGTTTAATATGTGCATAGACAAATATCCAGTTAAAGGATGTAGCTATCATGGGTATTGGAAAAAAAAGATACCATAATCTCTAGATCAGAAGAAAATGGTTGCCAGGTTTGCTTATTCAGCTTCCTTCATAAAGTGAATATACTAGCATTATTAAGTATTTAAAGCACAGCAAAATATCCACTCCATAATAATGTTTCCACAAAGTAGCTCTTGAATCACTGCTGCTCAGGAGATATCCTTCCCTTATTTCCTCTCAGAGAGAGATGGCACATTCTTTTCATTCTATATTTCAAATGAACAAAGCCAATTCATTACTAGGCTTTAAGTTCTGAGTAGGGGGAGAGAAGGCAGAAGGGGCAGTCATCTACTATGCTAGGATTTCACAGATGCCAAACAGATACAGACTTTAGTAGGCACAGAAAAACTGTAAGAGCATCCTTGTCACAAGAGTGAACCTTGATCAAATCCAGCACTTTGAGTGGCAATAGAGTGGCTGACATAATGACGAGTTATCCTGCTTCTCTTCGTGCTTGCTGATTTTGTGACTGGCTGATGCTTTTGGTATCAAAAACAGCAGGATACAGCTGAGTAAATCATGGTCTGGGATGAGACAAGGCTGATATGGGAACAGTAAATAAAACTGGAGCTGCAAGACCACTCCTATTATGCTATAAATAACTACAATGCAATTATAGCAGCATACAAAATTGACAAATAAAGAAATAAATATTAACCAAATGAAGAAAATGACACTCAAGTAGTGGAGCTTGGGGGAACTCCTGGTTAAGGAGTTGGTGGTATAAACAATGCCCATGCAGTGCTATGCCACAAGCCAAGCCTGGAAACTATGAACACTCTTGTCATCTCTGAAGTCACAGAATGTAGTAAAAACATTAGATCATATTCTCTTCAGTTTAGTATTCACCCCTTCCAAAATTGGTAGAGGTAAATGGGAGAGCCTTGGTGGTTAGAAGTTTCTGTTTTGAAGCAATTTCTTTTTGGAAGCTGACATCTTAATTATTTAGCAATAGAGCCATCCTCTTCCTTTCTTCTCCCTATGCTTGGTGTTCTACTTTTATTACTTTACGGCTTTTAACTAACTGCTTGTGGATTGACTGTATTTGTCCAAAATTGTCTTAAAGCTTCAGGAGAAATTCAGTTTGCTTCAGATATTGTAAAGAAGTCCTGCTTCATGGCGATCTCTCTATTTTGTTAATATTTTGGAATATAGCCCCAAAATCTGATTCTCTGAGACAGATAGTGTTGAATGGTAGTGACAGACAGGGGGATGTATGGCAAGTGTAGGAGGCAAACTAGGGATCCAGTTTGCTGGGCCCAACAGTCTCAGGTTGATGCTTTTGAACCAGGTCTATCTGTAATAAATCTAACCTAGCACATTGTCATAGTCTCCAATTCAGAGGATGCCACTGATTCCTAAGTTCCTTGAGTGCCTCTGGAGTGCCTATATATTCACCAATCTGGACCTAAGAGGAGCATGCAACCTGGTGCGAATACAGGAGGCTGACAAGTGCCTTTTCCTGACTTCTTCCTTAGAGATGTTCTAAGCGTGAGAAGTTTTGTTGCGACATGATTTATTCTGTATCTTTTTTCAAAGGTATATCCCAAAATTGCTTTTGAACTTTGGTGTTGGAGAAGACTCCTGAAAACTCCATGGATAGCCAAGCAAACAAACAAATGGATTATTGAACCAATCAGCAAGAGTTCTTACTTAAGGTAAAAACAATAAGGTTCAAATTATCCTACTTTGGACACATTATGTAAAGACTGAACTCTCTGGAAAAACCTATAATGCTGGGAAAGGTGGAAGGAATGAGAAGAGAACAACCAGCAGCAACATGGATGGACTCAATTATAGCGGTGATGGGCACGCTGTTGGAAGACCTGAAGGACCAAGTGGGGGACAGATCACCATAGTGGAAATCTGTCTTTGTGGTTGCTAACAATCGGCACCAACTAGATGGCACGTGATTATCCCAAAATGCAAAGGGTTAGGAGCATGCTATATTCAACATTCCTACACAGATTGCTAAATCGTTTATAGATGTCTACCTTGCTCTGAATTCCCAGAAAATAGATATATAATAAAAACAAAGATAACTATGCTGGTCAGAAGACAAATTCCAAAATTTATATTAGCATAATAAGCTAACCCAGAGTTCACAGAAATGTGCAAGCTTTCAAGATCTTTAGTTCTCTCCATCAGGCAAGAAATTATTAACGTAAATCCTATGAAAAATAGTTAAAAGAACTGGGTATGTTTAGTCTGAAGAAGAGAAGTCTAAGGAGAAACATGATAGCCATCTTTAAATTCTTGAAGGGCCATCACAGGAAAAAAGGTGCGGATTTGTTCTTTATAGTGCCTGAAGGTAAGACAAGAACCAATGGGGAGAAGCTTTACAGAGAGAGATACAAACCTGAAATTTGGAAGAATTTCCTGACTCAGAGCTATTAAGCAGTGGAACAGCCTGTTCCCTGGAGTCATGGGGACTCCATCACTGGATGTTTTTAAGAAAAATTAGACAGCGATTTGTCCAGAATAGTCTGATAATTCCTGTACCGGACAGATGTTGGACTAGAAGATCTCCAAGGTTTCTTCCAACCTTATGATTCTATGAAAACAATCTCATACACACACACAGCTATTACACAAACATATCTCCAAGCTATATATAAAATATATAGATTTTTTTAAACAAAAGTAGAGAGAAATTAGACAACTTTTAAAATAAAGTTTTAGTTATTTGTAGTATAATACTGTATTAAAATCAACTGAAGTCAAGTAGGTAAAATGATATGTTCATATTATCCTATTGATGTTGCAATTACATCAACTTGTTGAAAAAAAATTAAGCTAACCAACAGTTCAGTTGTTTGTGGAGAATTTAAAAAAATGGCTCTAAGCAGCTCAATCCTGCAAAAAGGGGAGGATTCACTCTTGATGTGGATGTGGTTGAAGAAGAAAATACAAGAACTAATTGAATTTTAAAATATAGCAGGGACTGAGAATTAAAAGAGTCTTACAATTGCCTTTAGCTAAAGTGAAGCAGAACAGGACAGGATTTTTTTAAACAGAAAAACATGAAAAGAAAACAAAACTGGCTGTGGACTTGTGGCACCATTTCCCAGAAAGATGAAAATTCTTGGCAGTTTCTTAAAGACAAAGATATATTTGTTAATGAATAATGCTGAAAGGTAACATTTCTGTTTATTATTGTAATTCATGTTTGTCTATTAACTTTATAAGCACTTGCAGATCAAATTCTTATCATAAATGATTATATCAGCAACAAACATCTACAAAGTTAGGCTGGCTTTTCACAAAAAAATAGTAAGGGCACATGAAATATATGTTTTACATCATTTACTGGTTTTTGAATCAGTAACAGAGCCAGTTTGACCTAGTGATTAAAGCACCAGGCTAGAAAGCAGGAGTTCTAGTCCCACCTCAGGCATGAAAGCCGTCTGGGTGACTTTGGGCCAGTCACTCTCTCTCAGCCCACAACGTCAGGCTTGAGGGACAAGCCGGTTGGTCAATTCCTGTTGCAACCAATGGATCAACATAAGGCTGATCCAAAAAAAGTGGACCCTGCACCTGTGGGAAAAACACTAGGAAGAAAAAAAAAACCCTTGTATTTGATCAGCAAGGATCAGAATCGTCTTCTTGGTAATATTTTAAAACTAATTTATTGAGTATTGCTGTAACTCTCAGAATTTCTCCAAGTCCCAATATCAGAGCAGGAAGTAACGAAGAATATTGATTCATCCATTCCAGTTCAGCAAATAACAATCATATATGATCTTTATAAAACTGCTAAACTACATGCCAATGCCTTATTGTTAATACTATATATTGTAGTAATATCCTAATTACATTTTTCAGCAGTGCCAAAGCCAATGAATAACCTGGTCTTGGCTTTCTTGTCATTCAGCCACATTAAACAGTTCCATGTATTAAAAACTGGTTTACACATTTTAAAACCACCTTGAATTAACGCTAAGATTTTCTACAACCCAGCCATGTCTACCCTGCTGTTCTAATTTCTGTACTAGATTAAACATCATGATAAAGTAATTCATTGTCCATTATGGAATATATTCTTCATGAAATAGGATGTGGGAAGAAGAACTGAGCTAAGCTGATCCCAAATCCAAATCCTGCAGTATGAACTGGAACCATTTATTCAATGCAGAAATCCAGATTAAAACATCCTCAATGTATGTTTATTCAGTTTCTTCATCAAGATATCCATCAAAGGGAGGCCCATTAGCTCCTCTGGTAATTGGTTCCTTGCCAAATGGTTATTTGAGCTACATGTCTTCCTAAGAACAAGAATCTGCCTTCCTATAATTGAAGATTGTCCTATATTCTGGAACCACAGAGAACAGGTCACAGTCTTCTACTGTATCTCCACCACTTCAATTTTTTTGAAAAATATAACCAGGTCCCTCAATTTCTCCTCCTAAAACTTTATTTTCTCCCTAGCTGCTTTTTCTGAACTTTTTTCAGTTTGTCGTCTTCTTACCTTTCTAGAACTAGATAAAGTACTTGAAGTGCACTACGACCAAAGCAGAATAAAGTGGGATTATTACTTCCTGTGATCTGGAAATTTATGTTTCTGTTAATGCAAAGTATAATTGTGATTCCCAGTTTTACAGCCACAACACATATTCAGCTTGGCATCAATTGAAATTCCAAGATCACTTTCACACATACTGTTACTAAGCCAGATACCTCTCATCCTATGCCTGTGCATTTGATTTCCTTTTTTGTAAAAACAACAACAAAAACTTCACAATCGTGTCTATTAAATGTCATACAATTATTTGAAATCCACTTACTAATCTATCAATATTGTTTTATTCAATCAAGCAATTTTATTTACGGCCAAAAGGCCCAAAAGC